CAGAAAGGCATACAGACTACCTGAATTATACCAAATTTGCCTAGGTGAGAATGTGGGAGACAGCATATGCAGAACACAAGATCTGTTCTTTATAATCAGCTTAAATCAGGCTTTCATTTAAATTTGTACAGTTAAGGCACTATTTTACATTTGTCAATGCATGCATGTAATACATGCATGCTGAGACCGCGCAGGTCGCATGAATGCCCGTGCTGTTTGCTGCCTCCTCGCCCTGTGACAGCAGTACTTGTCAGCAACACTTCCCTGGAACCCACTGGGTTCTACCTCTCATACAATATAACTCATTATAAAAGTAATCAAAAGAAGTGAAAAACTCAGGAAAACTGCATACTAGTACTAGTCAGGCAACTTGAAAAAACCTGAATTTACCCAGCTTGGTGCCTTCATCTGGTAAACATCAGCCTAGCTTTCCTGAGAGCCTTCTCATTCTCCTTTCAAATCCCAAAGTTACACTTTTACCTGCAGTTACTCTATCTTTTAAAACAATGAACAGTTTAGTAAGCTTACATCTCCCTCCACACTGACCACCTTTCTTCCACTGAGGCTTATGGAAATACCCTGTTTCACAGTCACTCCGTGAAACCAGTTTCAGATACCAAACTCTTCACAGCATTGGGAGATTTATTCAAACTGCCCTGCCAAAAAATCATGTATTCTAGAAGAATAAGGGAAATAAGTGAGTAGTCTTGAGTCTTCTGTACAGCCCAAACTTGAGGAGTTTCATGGTTCTCACAATAAGAACTCTGGAGTTAGCACTGAGCAAAGGAAGACTGGAAAATGCAGTGCATCACCTTCTTCACTTACATCTTCTGGGATGGAAGATGCCTGTTAGTCTTCTCCACACCTCAAAAAATGATTAATAAATAGAATGACCCCATGGAGTTTCCCTTCCTGGATATTGAAAGCTAAACAAAATAAAGCAAAAAGCAATCCATTCCTTTGTCAACGGAGAAAAGACTCTTTCTATCTAGCTACAGCAAAACCAAGCATTGGAGGCCTGGGGAAGAGGAATTGCAATGCTTATTTAAATAAAAAAAAGGCTTGAGGTAACTGCTTTGCCTAGCCTGATTAGACTAGTCAAGGGTCCAGATAATTTCTATTATTTTTTTTGTTTGAGATTGCTTTCATTCTCCCTACATTCTTCTATCACCTGAGAAGGCATCATGTTCCCCCTGACTCACGGAGAGTTTTGTTTTATGTTGTAATTTGCTAGAACAGTGATTATGTGCAAGTGGGAGAATTTCACAAGTAAAATGTCTTGTCAGTGAAAATAGCAGCTTTACTCCTACATTCACTTAGCAGCAGGAGGGAGAAAGTATCCTGGGGCTTTTGAATTATTGCTGAAATGAACTCCAGATGCCTGCAGAAAGACTGCTAAATATATACCTAATTACCAGTTTCTTTTGTCTTAGCCCTGCTGTTAAACAACCTTCAAACAACAGCATTTGATACATTCTGAATTCTTTATTAGCACCTTTATGCAAAATTAAATGGCACTTGTGCAGAGCTGGAGCACAACAGCATGCCAGCGATTCGGAAGTGACGTCTCTTGAAGCATGTCTTGAGTGTTCACCTTCCTGCATGGGGGAAGTTTTCTTATAAATTACAGTTTTCCTTTTACGTTACATGCATACTGATTTTATACCTCTCAGCTTTCATGATAGAAAAATTTGCGTATTTATGTAATACTAATCAGGCACCGAATTTTGCTATTTTGAATTTTAAGCAAAGGAGAGCAAAACTATGCTTCCTGGCCTGCTCCTGGCCACTCCAGTGACTCATCTTTGCTGGTATGCAATCTAATGAGCGTGAAGATTTAGAATTGCTGCTTCATAGAGAAAAAGGATTTGGGAGAGACAAGCTCATAAATCCTATGCTTCATCCTTGCTGACTCCCACATACATCGCCTACAGTACAGCTGAGAACTATGAAACTGCCTCTGGGTGTATGTAGGGGTAACCATTAGGAATACATACATGGAGGCCTTAGTTTGGAAATAAAACGGTCTTAAAAATCAAAGATCAACCACATTGAACCATGAGCATTTTCAAATAAATAAATGTATTTTTCATTGATTAAGGGAAGTGCTGGATTGGGCTGGGATAGACTTAGTTTTCTTCACGGTAGCTAGTACAGTGCTATGTTCTTGATTTGTGCTGAAAACAGGGTTGATAATTCCAGGATGTTTTCGTTATTGCTGAGCAGGGCTTACACAGAGTCAAGGCCTTTTCTGCTCCTCACATTGCCCCACCAGTGAGGAGGCTGGGGGTGCACAAGGACTTGGGAGGGGACGCAGCTGGGACAGCTGCACCCAACAGGGATATCCCACACCATATGGTGTCATGTTCAGCATATAAAACTGGGGGAGGAAGGAGGGCATGTTTGGAGTGACGGTGTTTGCATTCTAAAGTCACAACTACCCATGGAGCCCTGCTGTCCTGGAGATGGCCGAACACCTGCCTGCCCAGGGGAAGTGGTGGATGAATGCTATGTTTGGCTTTGCTTGTGTGCACCACTTTTGCTTTACTTGTTGAACTGTTTTTATCTCAGTTCATGAGTTCTCTCACTTTTACCCTCCTGATTCTCTTCCCCACCCCACCGGGGAAAGTAAGTGAGCAGCTGCACTGGGCTTTGTAGCAGCTGGAGTTAAACTAGGACAAGGGAGAGGAAAGACAGAGGATCACCAGTGTAACTACTTCACCCTCTGACACTGTGACACTGTGGCACTGTCAGCTGCTGCATTCCTCTTAAATAAACAATCCCTCTGCCTTCACTGCCTTCAAGAATCGATGCTGATCTTTTCCACTCCAGTGGCAAACCTCACCCACGACTGTAACTTACTGCCCTCCTTAGCCCAACATTCAGTACCAAGGAAGCCAACATCAATAACAGAAGCCCTCTTCTCTTTTCCTCTTCCCCAGACCTACTTGTTTCTTTTTACCCTGCTTTCAGCACACTGGGCCAACTTCTACAGAGGAGGATTCAGACAAGGTTCAATTTAAGGTGGCATGGAAGTGCTGCTTCAGTAACATATACAGGAATGGATGGGCACATCCTGAACACCAGCACAAAATGCCACAGCTGTAAAGCAGCGCTCAAGTTTTGACACTTGCTAGATAACTTATTGCTGTGCTGGTAATCTCTTCTGGGACTCTGCCAGTCAGACAGCTTGAAGTGTGTATTAGAGACAGACTTCAGTTCTGTGATGCCTGATTCCCACTAGACATGTCAATGTTTAATTTATCATTTGCATAGTCCTAGCAATGGTTTCCTGCACAGTGTGACACTTGGCTGCAATACTTCACAGAAATCACTCCAGACAGCATAAACCTCCAGTTTTTGAGCTGCAGTTCCAGTTATAAACAGTGTTATTTAAAACACTACAGGTTGAAAGTGTGGATTTTGCAAAATTTTACTACCATAGTAAGAATGTAAAGGATGGAAAATCTGGACCTTGCTGATTTGCAGATGTCTCAAAAGAAAAAAATACTGGGCAACTCCTTCTAGTTAAATGTGTGAAGACTCTAATGACCTCTTTCAAAATCATTCTGGAAAAGATTAATCTGCTCTTTGTTGATTATTCATCAAAGCAAGCACATAGCAGTGATTTGGTAAATTTTGTGTTTGAATAACAAAAAATTTCAAATCATTAGTTCTTTCTTTGCCATTTCAAATAATACAGAGTGAGGTTTAAATGCTAGAATCACAGCTAAACACATAAGACAGCTCACAGAATCACAGAATTGCTGAGTTTGGAAGGGACCTCTAGACATCATCCTGTCCAACCATCCCTGGTGACCCCAACCAGGGTCACCTGTAGTAGGCTGTCCAGGACCATGGCCTTGGAGCATTTCCAAAAACGGAGACTCCACCATCTCTCTGGTCAACTTGTGCCAGTCCTCAGCCACTCTCACAGTGAATAAGTGGCATCCATAAATCCTCTGCATGCTTGAGCAAGGGGCTTGGTGGTAATCTCTCTAAACATACTCTGCAAAGAGTAAAATTTCTGGCGTCTGCGGTGCTTCTCAAGAACAAAATCATCACTGTTATTTTCTGATGCAATGACAGACACCTCTTACTTTCATAAGATACAAAGGAATACTGAGATTTGTGTTAGTTCTGTTCATACAAGAGAAAGGAAGGATCCAGAAGAGAAAAGAGCAATGCCAATGCCTTCTCTCAGCCCTCCTCATATATAGTGCACAGGTTTACAGAGAAACTTGAATGAGTTTCTACAGTGAAGTACATCAGTGTATTTCCTCATTAGCCAGCTGCCTTTTGGATGCTAAAAACTCTAGCTAAAGCATCAAACATCTGTGTTCCATTTGTGTGCATGCTTGTGTGTGTACCTAGAAGAGAGAGTATGTGCACATGCAAGCAGCTATCTTTGTCTGGGAAGAGGTGAGATTACAGTAACACCTGTATAACTACCTTACAGATATATGTATTACACAGCTGTCCCAGGAACCCTAATTCAAAGGAAGGGTGGAAAAGGAGTAGCCTGCAGTATTGCAATCTGCATTGCAATAACATCCTTACACCAATTTCAGCAGGCTAGACTTTGCTTATCTCATTGTAATTTTCTTTAAGCTGAACACATTCATAAAGTGTGCACTGAAAGCTATTGAGAATATCCCAGTTTCAAGCTTAGCCTTTGGTCAGTGTTTTTGGTGACTAATATTTTAATTTTCCTCTAACTTCTTGTCAAGACAGCCAACCAACCGCTAACCTGAAGCTATGTTGTCTCCAACTCACTTCTACCTTAAAATCAGCAGAAGCCCTGTATGTTTCTTGTCCAGCACACAGTAAACACAATGGCATTCTAGCAAGTAGGCTATTTGAGCACCTGGTTATGTCTGAAACTCTTTTTGGTGCTTTGGAAAACAGAGTAATGTCAATGAATCATGTTCAATTACAGCATAGTTATTGCCAAGCTTGTTTGATGCTTAGCATTTGAGGACAATGATGTGCTTACTCACCATAAGGGATATATGCCAAGCCTACTGACAATGAAGACAACGGCAAATGTAAGGAACAGAAGGTCACTCAGCTTTTGACACTTGCAGTAATTTGCCATTTTGGCAGCCTGAAAAAGAAAGAAATGTCTTTTTACTTCTGTGAGGACAACTGAGTTTTCTCGTGTATAAGCTGTAAGAGAAGAAATCAAATTTCTATGAAATCACTAACATTTTCATTGTGCCACCTCATAGTGATCTTGCAACTCCTCTCTACTAAGCAGTTGGAAAATGTCTTTGAAGAAAAAACAAACCAGACTGCATAAAACCAGAATAAGTATCTAATTTCTTTATCCCCCATTCAATTTCCTTTTTGAGATCCTACAATTTCAGATTCACAAAACTCTTCTAAACCTTTTATTAAACCCCACTGCGTTTTGCTATCCTTGTCCCCAGCCTCTTTACCTACCTGTCTCTCACCTTACCAGTATGCTCTACCTGCATTTTCAAAGTCCATCTACCTACCATCTGCCCCATGCTCTCTGACATTCCAGCGGTCTCAATTCCTCTTCTACACCCCATACCCTACTTTCTCCTAAAGCATCTCTTCTTCCTTTCTGGCCTATACAGAACAGTTCCCACCTCAAAGATTATACCACTCCTCTTCAAGTCTTTTTCAAACGCTCTCCTCCCCTCTCTTTCCAACTTTTCCTTTCCAACTTGTTGCCTTATGCCTATTTTTATATGCTTATCTCATTTATCTTAATGCAGGCTTCTGAGTCTTCCCCAGTGAAGAACTAATTATTCCTCACTAAAAACACAAATCTTCCCTGAAGTTTCTTTAGCCTCTTCTCCCTGAAGAAAATGGTACGTACAAGCAAGCTTGTTTTAAGACGTCTCTGCTGCTTCCACAGTATTCATGTGCGTAAGCAGTTAATTATTTTTAAATAATATCTCTTTCAAGGCAGGGACAGTCTTTCTTCATACTTTCTGTTAAATGTATCCATAGAGTCACTGCACAATGAAGTACATGAAGAGTCTGATTTTGTGTCCACTGAAGTCAGTGGGAACCCTTTCAAAGCCCTCTCTGAGGGGACCCGTATTCAGCTCCCATATTGAGAAGATACTTGTGTAGACTTTCCAGAGGACTAAGAGGGAACAAAATTACCACAACTATGCATAGAGAATACTATTCTGATTGCAGAATTCAAACTAGATAATCAAACAATCTGGATACCAAAACCAAACTGCACTTTTGGATGTTACCCAATTTCTGCAATCTTTCCACTAAAAACTTGAATATAAAGAATATTCCTCACTAACAGAAACCAAGTTAAGAAGCTCAAAAAACATGAGGAAAGCTACCAGTGCTCCAAAGAAAACATAACCCTTCTGAATCAGCCCTGGTGCTAGTTTCCTAGCAGTTTTTTACTCACAGACTGGTTTAAGGAAAAGAGAACATTTTGGTGCCAGCATGTAAAACAGAAGCATTACTAACTTCCTTGACTTTCGGATGATTCGAAGTTCACATAGGAATTCTGCATGTATTTCCATGGCAGCAGTGTAAAAAACTGTTTTCATAGTGCATGGAGCTGATATTGCTATAGCAACTTGTAGTTCTCAAAAACATCAGTTCTCAAGTAACAAATCTATAAATTATAGATTAAAAAAGATTACAGGAAAAAAAAAGGGAAAGAATATGTTGTTGTTGGATGAAATTTTGCCACCTAAGACAATACAACACAATTTTCAGAGCTTAAAAACCGTAACTACAATTAAGTAACACAGCTCTTCCATATACTCTTGCTAGTCTGTCTGTTTAAATCCATGTGTTTTACAGCACAGCTTTTGCCTTAGTCTGAAGTTTCCATTCCCTGCTCTTTTATAAAAGTATGTCAGCAGATAGTTAGGACCTGACAGAAAGGAATCAGGTTGAACTGTGACTACACACACGGGCAACTTCTCACATGCATAGACTAGCATTAAACTGCCACAGTGTCCATTAATAGAAGTTAAGAAGTCTCAAGGTCCCCAAATAGGTGGAATTTTAAGTGCTTCAACATGTTAGGGCACAGAGGTTTCAACCCACAAGCTGTACTGCAGTGCAAATATACCCAAGACCCCATAAACAACTAGCTGGGATTCTGAAAGTTGCTCCTCAGAGGCCTAGATTTTAGTTTATGCTAATGTAATGGCTTCCTAGGCAAGCAAATTATGTTTGATATGACCTGCCATGGCTAGAATGCTTTGAATATCCAAGATAACTTTCACTCAGACCTAAAAAACCAGCTATAATTCCTGAAAATCCTACTATGATTCTTCCATACTTACAAATGCCTTAACACCTGTGGGAAAAAACCTCACCTCCAGGATTCCCACCAATTCACATTACTTTCTGCAATGAGAATAGCAAAAATGTTGCATTCCAGCTTTCCACTGCACATGTGTCATTATGAAATGGTAGGTGGAAAGAGCCTAGTGGCCTCCAGAAATAGCTTTTCATTTTTACAAATATGTAATAGGTAGAACAGGTCAGGTATACAACTGACCTATCATGGAAGGATATTTAACCAACTTCTTTTGCAGTTTGATCTTTTTTTTTCCTCTGCACTGACTTTCCTCTCAGTACCATCAGCAGTGTGTAAGAGTCCATCTCCTCTCATATGGCACCAGGGCTGTGCCCCACTGCCCTAGCAGAACTTCCAGTCATAACAGACTGAAAGAATTGACCAGAAAGACCACTGAAGTATGTGCCTCATGAGGAAGGATATTTGATGAATGTTTGCAAATCATATGAGAATAACAGCAATTCCTCTTTGTCAGTGAATAAACAAAGCAATTGAGCAAAAATATGTATCTCACTGTATTCAAGGTAAGGTTTTAGCTACCCTATTCTAGCTGCTCTCCACTGTTTTTATATTCCACAGACACTGGTCTGATCTGGAATGAACATCTTCAAGTAAGTCCTTCTGGTGGTGAGAAAAGAGGAATGAAGAAAGTTTAGGTGAAGCCACAGCTAGCTACACACATTGCTAAAACAGAAAAATAAACTTGTAAAGATGCAATTATTTCTATCAGGAGAAATCCACATTCTCTTTTGCTTTCTATCTCAGGCAGTCATGTGCCTTCTAGATTAAAAGAAGATTAAAAAATAAAACCAGATTTACAGCTGGGATTTACTACTGAATCAGAATGGCAGGATTTTGATTTTGCAATAGGTGACTCACACAGTGAGACTATATTCTCACATAATAGGATCCTTGCAGATACTTTAATAAAAAATAATTTCAGACAAAACAGTTATTAACTTTGGTTTGATCCTGACGCAGAGTTCACAGATAACCCAACCCCAGCATCACCCAGAGCTGTTTAATAACTGATGCAGGTAAAGATGACATCATCTCTAAATTACCGCTATGGAAGTTACAGACCATTTTGACTTAAAAGAATTTCAATCATCCCTTTTTCTTCAAATCCAAATGCTTAATTGTGGCATTGGGATCCAGAGGCACGAGAACCTGGAAAATCGGAGGTCAGCTCACTGCCCATGCCCAAATAGCCACCAAATTGTCCAACACACTCTGTCCAGCAAAGCACAGCAGAAACACACTGTGACACCTTGATTCTTTTGCAGACAGGGTTATTGCTCCTCACCCCATGTCAGAGTGGTCAAGAACCAGGAGCTTCTATCCCACTGTTACCACTTTCCAGATTTTGCAACTTTGAGCTTTTGATTTTACCATGTTGTAATTAAAATCTGTGTGTAATCCTCCCTGGCATACAATGCATTACCACTCTCTTCTCTGGACAAGCAACTTATCAAGGGATAAATCAGCCTTAAGTCAGAAACATGCATTGCTACAAGGGTAATACATTTAAGCAAATACACTATATTAATCACCATTACGATCTTGAACTGGACCCCTGGCTTAGGAAATACTTGTTTTGCATAGCAAAAAGATTCTACCTACTGACAGGATGACATAGGTATTATCTCACCTCTAGAACAATATCAGACGCATCATGGAGACAAAAGATCAAAGTTCCCACTCGTGTCAGATTGGTTATATATGAGAAGGAAATCAGGGTGACTGCTAAAATGTGATGTGTACACATGATGCCAAAATCCTAGAGCAGCAAAAGTAAAGAAAAGAAACAAAAACCAAAAAACAATGAAGCAAACAGTTATATTCAGTACTCATATACAAAAATGGATGGATGTTTCTTACACCCAGCATTATGGTTAAGTTATATAAAGATCCTACTACATAAGTGCTATGTATTTCATTTAGACTGAATAAAATAATCATTGTATTAACAAAATGCAAAATATTATTGAAAACTAGGCAATATCTACACTTCTCAGTTTATAGTAATTTAACCTAATAAACATTTGTGACTGAAGTTACTTTGAAAAGACATATGTACATACAAATCAAATTACACCATATATTTTATGCATTGAGTAACGTATGCATATAAAAATATGCATAACCAAGTGCAAAATAATGCACTATTCACAAGAGATAAAACAGCTACAAAGAAACAAGAAATACATTTCCACTGCACTAGGACAACAGGCACCTGCCAAGCACAACTGAGAGCTTTCACTGAGCCAAGAATTCCAGATCCAGGTTTTTATTTGTTTTTAATGAAGGTGCTTTGTCTTCACACTGTAACAGGGTCAGAAAAGTCTTCAAATGAGTTGGTGCAGCCCCTCCTGCTCAGTTCTAATCCACTGCCTCCCAAACGATGCAGGCTAACTGGTCTCCAGTTAGGTCAGTAACTCTCAGTTATTTGGCCAGAAAGTAACTATTACTATTGAAAAATCAGGGAGCAGTGAAGCTTCTGTAACATCACATTCCCAGATACATGCCAAGGGGCAGACAAAGCAGAGGCAATGATCTACCTGCCTGGACTAGACTTCCAGACTGATTAATGAGAGAATAGGACCTGCAGAGATGCGACTCTTCTCTGCAAGGCACTAAGTCAGTCAAAAAGAAGTCTTGCTGGCATTTGCTGAACTACCTGCATGGCTTTGAGAAAGTGATATCAAAACCCTTAAGGAAAGATCACAGACAACATTTAACTGGGGAGTTTCTCCATGCGCCAGGTGCAATGTTAGTACCACGCTCCTGGCAGATCTAGTAGCTCTCATACAGAGCTGTCTGAAGGGAGAGAGATCCAGGCAGTCAAAAGGAGCAGCTCCTCCAGGCAGCCTGCCTGCTCAGCATCTTGGGAGGTGGATTTGTCTTTCTGATAGCTTTCGTGGGCCAGTCCTGCTGAGCTGTGATACTCTTCAGCTACAGGGCCCACAGCAGAGAAACTGAAACTTTAGAGAGGCAACACCTGGTTTGCAAAGGGACTGAAGATACATGTGTTGGGCAGGGTCTTACAGAAAGTGTTGTGAGCTCCCACTAACACAGAGTCAACTCTGGAAAAGCAGCAGCTCCCGATTGCTCTGTCTCTTCAATACCAGGAAGAGTAACTGCACCATGTCCCCACGCCTCTCTCTTTGGGAATGCAGCAGGCATGTAGCAGACACCACTGTTTTTAAGGACATGCAGTGCCACTGCCTTTTAGTACCAGCACTTGTTTTCACTGCAATGTTCACCTGGAGTGAACAAACGTGCAGCTTGAGCAGTGTCACCGACTGAAGAGGGACAGGACTGCTCCCAGCCTCTATCGCTTTATGTTTAATGCTGTGAGATGCTACAAGATCCTATTTCATACCCATCAGTGGGCACTCCCAGTAACTCCAACACAAAGCTGAGGGAGGCCAGGAGGGCATGGAAGGCAGGGGAAAGGGAGAAAAGAAATAAAAAGAAGACTAAAAGAGGGAACCATATCCTAGTTTAGTATACTCCCAACATTTCTCAGCCGGATTATTTGACCCCCAGCACTATGGAGCACAATTAAATACATTCAGCAGTCATATCAAGGTATTGCTTTGAAACTATTTTCTTCAAGCAGACTGAAGAAAAAGTGAATTAAAGGCTGTTTCCCTTTCTGAGTGTCCTAAGGGAAAGCAAAGGTATGGCATCTTAGTCATTTCAGTAACTACAAACCCACACATGGAGACCATTTCACCATACAATAATAAAAAGGGCAAAGCACCTACCTTATTCCATGGGATCAGAAGTAAGCTACTAGCATTGCCCTATGGCCATACTGCAAACTAGCTCTTTACCTTCTTTAGCTGTAAATACTATGGCACTGTTCTTAATTTTCCTTCTAACTGCAATTATGTTAGCACATGGGTAGTCCAAACGGGGCAAGAAGTCAAGTAGAAAATCTCCTCTGTTTTCATAGCTGACACATCCATGTTCTACAAATACAAGATTTCTAGTCCCTCTTGGGTATTTTTCAAGGCATTCCTGACAATATGGATTATTCCTAAGCAATCTTAATGCTCTTGGGCAGCAGTCTTCTGCACTTCTTACAGAAATGCTGTCCAGGGAACTCCTTCTCTAATAATGTTTCTTAAAAGAGACAGTTATCTGACTCTGCCAGCTCTGAAACAGACATGCCAGATTGACCTACTGAAAACTGTTAGAAAAAAGTAGCAATGATATAAATAAAACTACTTTCATTATTGTAGTACTTTCTTTCCTGTTTGCGACATTTCTTTAATTAATTAAAGTCATTATAAAGTCATTAATTCATACAATGCTTTGAAGATGTTACCTCTTAGATTTTAGTTACACATAAGAGTAATTACAGAATATGGTGAGTTGGAAGGGGTGGATCCACAAGGATCATTGAGCCCAACCCTTGGCCCTGCAGAGGACCACCCCCAAGAGTCAAACCATGTGCCCAAGAGTGTTGTCCAACTGCTTCTTGAACTCTGTCAGGCTTGCTGCTGTGACCACTTCCCTGGGGAGCCTGTTCCAGTGCCCAGCCATCCTCTGGATGAAGAACCTTTTTCTAAAATCCAACCTAAACCTCCCTTGACACAACTTCAGGCCATTCCCTCGGGTCCTGTCACTGGTCACCACAGAGCAGAGGTCAGTGTCTCCTCTTCCCCTCACAAGAAAGTTGTAGACTACAATGAGGTGTCCTCTCAGTCTCCTCCAGGCTGAACAGACCAAGTGCCCTCAGCCACTCCTCATACGGCTTCTCCTCAAGGCCCTTCACCATCTTCGTTGCCCTCCTTTGGATGCTCTCTTAAGAGCTTAATATCTTTTGTGACCAAAACTGCACATGAACACATAGATACTAATGGTACTTGTGATCCCAGCTTACTCCAGTACTTTCACCCATACAGAGCAGAAGAGCAGCTCTTCAGGAATGGGCTACTTTTTTTTTTTAATGTAGTTCAAATGATATGCGCGTTTGTGAAAGTTGGATTTATTTACAGCAGATTTGTAGCCTCCGGAAAGCTGTCATGTGCCTATGTCATGAAAATATGTGGCTAAGAATAAGAGAAAAAACCTATTCCTGACACCATCAGTTGGAAGAACACAGGGCAGACAGCAGAGAAACCCCACAGCTCTTAACTTGTAGACAAGCCCTCTGGAATCAAGGCTTCTGCCACCCACATTTGTTTAACATGTCACACTCACTGACTAAACTGCCAAGCGGCTATGGAGTATTAGTGGCACTGAAGGGCAAACCATCATCTTTTTGGCTTATATTGTAGATCAACAAGGAAAGGGAAAGGTTTGTAAAATGTACGCTATCTAAATTGCTTCTACTGAGCCAAAAGAAATCAGCTCTGTGTCTCATTTTTTACTGAGTTTGAAGAAAGAGATCTAGCAAAATATAGCATAAATTTAGCAAAATGTAGCATAAACTTTACAGAATCAAAATGGAATATTCAAGAAAATTAGCAGTTACAGATTATTTTATTTTGGGAATGAGTGAACTTTTTTTTTAATAAAAAAAGAAGCTCTAGAAATTGCCAAATGTTTGGAACTAAAAGATGTGAATACACAGATCTCCTAGATATTCTACGAACCTGTTAAAACACTCGATAGAAATTTTACACATTACTTTAAATGCACCTGTCAAATATTTTTATGCAAACAATACTTCTGGTAACCAGAAAGCATGTAAATAAGCCTCACTGCTTTTAAAACTCATCAGGTTCTTGTGAGACTAACCAAGTTTCCTGATCTAATTTTTTTTCCTGTCTTTTACAAAACAGGAGTATGGGAAGCTGGCCAGAGATCATACTAGGTTGCAGCCTTTGAAAATTAACACCTTTAAGGATAGAATATCATTATAACAACATAACAGATATTTATGAAGCAAACAATATGCCATTATAAAACTGTAAAAGTTAAGCTACTCAGTTCACTGCCTTAATGCCAATAGTAGGTATGTGCAATGGCCTAGTTTGCTCACACCTCTCCAGCCAGTGAAAGATAATCTGGTGGAATTTAAAACACCTAAATAAAGAGGTATTTGAAAGTCTGAAAAACAATTGGAAGTCATTTGAAGTCATCAATTTACTATTGTAGAAGAATAAAATGGAGATGGAAAACAGCAAGTACATTTTTCTTGAGCTACAGCAAGTAAAAGACCAATGCTGGAGTTAGGCCAGTGCTGAGTGCTGGTGCTTTCAGTGAGGACCCACTGCAGCTCCCCTTCAGGGAAACCCAACTACATGAAAGGCTGAATTCCTGCAGTGCACAAAGCTGCCAGGGCACTTTTGACCATCTCAGAATACAACGCAGATACTTCTGCTGAATTTAAAGTACCTAAAATGATAACCAAGACTTAGATAAAAGTAATCCTTTCACTGTAACATGAAAACATCAACAGGTTTCTCCAGCTGAGAACTGTTAATCTACTCTGTATAAGCCACTGTGAAATATTACAACAGCATCTGATATTAGCTGGCAAATTTCCTGCGTCTTTTTAAATAGATCCTTATTTCATATGGGCACCATTTCACACATTGCATATTGGGTGCATTATGCGGTTTCCACATTATTTTAAACTAAATCTTCTCTTTAAAAGAGAACTATTATGATGTTACAAGGGGTGGTGTCTCTGTCAAGCTTGTACCTCTTTTTGTCAACTACTATAAGCCTTTAGTGCTGACATTTTTCAGCTCAGTGGGTTCTCCTGACAGCTTGCACTTGCCCCTGGGCACAGAGCAGTTTTACTGTGTGACATCAGGGCATTTCTACAATCCAATCTTCCTAGTTATCGATTTCGCTTACACTAGAAAAAGAACTGTCCCTTCAGTCCAAACTGGTCAGTGATTTAATGCATTATTTGCTTATAAATACGGCACCTCCACTGTCTCCTGCAGGTTGCTTCTAATGAAAGGCTTTTGACTTGCTGTCACTGCACTGCAGATGCTGTTTTCCTGCTCTCTGCTGGACACTGCATGTTCTCAGACACAGCAGACGCATGGGACATGCTTGGATCTGGTGCTCTAGCACTGCAAATCTGTGGCAGGGGTGTTACTCAGCTGTTAGCCATCCACTTCCCCACCTTCATCTTCTATTCTATTTCCACAGCAGGTTGCTGTAAAGTCTTCCTGATAACAAGTCACTTATATATAACTAAAAAATAGACTTGGCACCTGCAGCTTAGGTATACTAGTCAATATTACTCTTGATTTAAATTCATCTGCATTATCATACAGCTCTGTTGTGCACTGTTTTTCTGTATCTCTGGTTTTTGAACCAGTGAAGTTTCGCTCATTTCAAAGCCATTATTTAACAGAATGTTTAGCATCTACAGACTATGCAAACAAGGGACTTACATGTATTCATCATATATTGGTTGCTTTTTTTACAATTTACCCTCCTGTAAGGACTTAAATTTTTTAGATGCTTTCTTGAGCTTTTTACTTCCGCAGTAATTTGGAAATCCAGATAGAGGGGGGTGTTTCTGTATACATACATGTGGCACAAGACTCTCAGGAGCACATTGTGGTTCCAAATAGCAGATAAATTTATTAAAGACATACTGGATTCTCATTTAGTCTTTTCAGAGTTATGCTCCTGCTAAAATTCTAATAAACAGGGATTTTTCCATTAGCATAGCCTACAATCATTTAATTAAATGTCAGCTGAAGGAAGAACATAACAATATTATAAAATCCTTCCAAATGTTTTAAAAATGTAATTTTGAAACATTAAAACCCCCTGCAAGAGTATCTCAATGGACTGTTATTACAGAATAACTGTTGTGCTGCCTGTTCTGCTATGGACTAGGATTCTCCTTGGAGGAGAGAACTTGGAATATGGAATGGGTTACTCATGATTCTGGAAAAATGTTTTTATTTGGCCAGAGTTTTATTTTTTTTCATTAATAGCCCTTTAATAGCAATGTTCTGCTACTTGAAATTTCATAACCATAATGGTAAAATGAAATGTAAAATTACTTTTTAGTATTACATATATCCTGTTTTTACCATCCCTTCATAGAAAAAATTGAAACCCCTCATAGATCTTAACCAAGTTATACTATGGATTTATGAGGCAGTCTTGCTCTGTCATTGATATTTAATCATTTCATTCTTAGAAGAAACAGTACATCTACTAGATACTATATGTTCAATTCCATTCGAGTCACTGTATAAGAGCAGAAGGTTTTTCTAGCTACTGCTATTTGCCCTTCAATATTTGATTGTTCCAGGCTTTTCTTCTCATGTGCAGGAAAAACCCACATCATAGTAACAAGGAACAGAGTAAGACAAACACTTCAACACCAATTTCTCAGTGAGTACTATCTGCAAGAAGCAGAGACTAGAAACTGTATTTCCAGTTCGCTACACAAGTAATACAGATAATGCTCAAGAATGATACATACGTAAAGCTTTCAATGTTTTTAGTCTGATTGTCCTTACCTTTCTTTTGACGTCAATGAATTGAGAAAACATTAAGGACCAGTAGAATGACAATTCAACTAGGTAGTAATAATGAAGGTCAGGCATCAGTGGCTGAAAGATGGAGATGAGAAAAGGTTAATAGAGTCTAACTGACATTACAGGCAGCTGTGGCCTATAGGAGACACGTTTAATCACAGAGAATTATTGAATTATACATAAGCATCCTATGTAAGAAAAATGATGATGGTTGCCTCTTTCAAACTTTGATGGCTCTGGAAAAATAAAGCTCCTCAACCCTCTCTCCTCTAATGTTTTAGTCTTGACAATACTGTAATACCAAAAATTATGATGTTGCTAATTTGGAACCCAGAACAAACCAAATTCCGAGTACTCCTAAGTCTTTTGAAAGATTACTTGAAACATCTTGCTTTACATCAGTAATGTTTAAACCACAGCAAAAAAACCATGCTAGAGCAGATTAGAAAAAAGTAATGCTAGTATATAATCTCATCAGCTCATGATGATAATGTTGTGAGCTTTGAACAGGGCTCTTTCTAATATAGATGTCTACTTTTAAAGAATTTTACCATTTTTTGGGAACATATTAACATTTGAAAAGAAGAAAATAGAATAAATTTATCCAGGCATCCTGTTTGATATACAACATGGTTACACAGATGTTTAAAAGTAAAATAAATATAAATAGCAAGAGATGGGAACTTATGCACAACCAAAACCAACTTGGGGTAACTTCAAAGAAGGTAACTGGTGGCAGGCATAAGCTGTTTGGCCCCCCAGCCTAAGAGAGCCAGTCCAAGGAGCTACTCTAATTTCCATGCAAATGTGCCTCCCTGATAGTCTTATCTTCCACCTCAGTGATAGAGAGGGACACTGGCAAAGGAGAAGCTCCTGAGGGCATTGCCTGAGGAATTAGATAAACCATCTCTAGAGCAGTTTGCACTGGCACAGCTACGCACCCAAGTAGGGCCTGAGCTGTTTCCATTGGCAAGAGGTGCTTCAGTTGCCTCTTTTATTCACATTCTCTTTTGCAGACAAGTTCTTAGTCGCTGAAAAACAGTTCTTAGGTGCCCAATGAATGCTCTGTAGGGGTTTCTTTAATATAGAAATATGCTTATCCTTTATGAAAATGTGTACATTTAATATCAATCTTTTAAAGCCATTTCTTGGGCTAATATAATCCTTTTCTGATTTAGTGAGACTGCCAATAGACTTTTAATTAGGTGTAATTAAAAAAGGGAAAGAGAATAAGAGCTAGCAATAAACTGCGACTATTATACTCATTATTGCAAGGGAACTCACTGAAGAAAATTCCTAGTAAAAAAGAAGATTGTCAGCTGCTTTATTAGCATTATTAGCATTAGTATTTCTAAACCCATACATAACGATAATGTAGGGTAACTCTAATGATGTCATGGATTCCCTCCTGGATCAATAGTGTGTGTTTAATTTAGTTCAAATGTTAGGTTTCAGTTCTTCAAGACTTAACCTCAACAGGACTGTTCTGTGCTTATGGCTGTGTTGTGACCCAAATGATCCATTTGTCTATATCTACAGTAATACAGTAAAGTCCAGCTGGATTTTTGCAATGCATTGGTGAGTAACTTACAAAGGATTTGTAGCAAACAAGAAATTAGAAATTTTATCTAGTTAAGGAAAAGCCAACAAAACAAAACAAATTTAAAACACAGTACTTAGTTCTGATTAGCACCCAGTAGACAATTTTATCTCTGAGAAAATGATTTTCACAATTACTTTAATTAGGTGATTTGCTTCCTGTTGCACCCTCACCACTACTAGCATAGTAATTTTAGTTACTACAGTCTAGAAGTTGTAACCAGACTTTGTTCTTCTGGTAAGTCTGGTAAATGTATGTTCTTTGACCAGTAAGATTCATATTCTTTTGTTGTAAGTAAATCTCTTATTGCATATAATAACACAAAAATAGGAGAGAACAGGACTGAAAAGTACCTGTAAGTAACCATAAAGTAACTATAGCCATATCAATCTAAAAAACAATTGTATCTAAAATTTCTGAGGGATGAAGATTCAAGACCTCCTCCATTCAATTTCTGCTTCAATTGTTCAGTTTACCCTCCAGTCTCCGGGTGGAATTTAAGTCATCACTTCTTCTGAGGCTACATGACCAAATTCCTTCAACCTTTCTCAGATCAAGATTTCTGGTCATTCTTACTGAACTATCTCTACTGAACTATTTCCAACAGGTACACAACCTTCAAGAACAGTAGCATCAAAACACACCTCTCCTATTCAGTCTGTCAAGGGCTGTTTACTGTCACAGGGAATTCACATGTCTTTCAGACAATACTCTTCTTCATACTTTCCAGTCTGAAAATGACTTTTCCCCCCTTCTCCCCCTCCTTCGGGAAAAAAGAATAATAAAATAAAATAAAAAACACCTAGACAGGTGAAACTCCTTAAATTGCCAACTTTTCTCTGGAGCTTTTGGAATTCAGTGTGTGGAATTCAGGTGTGACAACTATATTCGTCTTTCCCATCTTGAACTCAAGCAAGATGGGACATATGTAGCAATGATCTGAAATACCAAGTAGCCCACTCACACTAACATATTGACATATTAAAAACAGAGCTTTGCAGAAGTGTCATGTTTGTTTTTAGGCAGCACTGTAACTTTTACCTGATATGGATACCCGTTCCAGCACTGTCTGGTATTCCAGAGCCAGGGTGTCTGAGAGAAAGAAAGAAAAAACAAAACAAAGGTTTGTACACACCATTTTCTGCAATGTTAAGTGTATATTTTTATTACAAGTGAAAGACAAAACTACAGGAACAGCTTAAGATTTTCAGTTTTTGCTAGAGGCTATGAAAACTGAATAGAACAAGGAGATTCCCCAGTTTCACAGCAAGAATTAGAGCAACTTGCCTCTTTTTTGTTGGTACCCCATGACCTTAGTTTTGCAGGAGTGCAGACTGAATGTAATCAGCCTGTGCTTAGATGGTTAGATCTCACATTACCTTCTCAATAGCATGGGAAATTTTGACCTCAGACTGCTCAAATATTTTAAGGAAAGTTCCTCGCATGTGCTGTTACCTACAAGCATCCTTCTATACAGGAACCATCCTTCATCCTTGCCACATCAGCACAAAATAGCAAATCATATCTCTTGCTTTCCTGGCTGAAGACATGACCATCCAGAGATGATAGATTTTGCTATCACATGGAAAATACTCTCACATCTTAGGGCAACATGAAATATGCCAGAGACAAATTTATTGTAGGATCCACGGACCCTTGCATTGCAAAAAGCTCGGTAAACTAAAAGACTTGGGAAGGTGAAGCTCTGTTATGCTTCCTGTTTCTTTGTTGCTTGCATGGGATTTATGTGATTATTTCTTTTTCTTTTAAATCTTTTATTGTAAGCGGGTTGTTTCTTTCCGAGTTATTTAGTTTTTATCACCTTTTCTGTGCAATTAAATATATCTGAGATAGGCTCTACCATATGGGCAAGGTCTTCTACCCAACATACTCACCATGAAATATTTCCACATTGCATAATAAGAACATGACCAAATCAACAGCTACCAAGTAATTCCCTTTTTGTGCATGAGCAGGAACACCTCCTTTCAGAGATGCATGTCTTGCAAAGCACAGCTGCACCTCAGGTTCTGGCAGCATCTGGACCTTGAGAAGCACTTGTTTACACTACAAGTAACCACCTACAGGGCATCTCATTAGAAACTTGAAAGAAAACTGTGGATTCAAGATCCTAGTGCAACTAGTTCCCATAACCTTAACTGCTCGAAACTCGAGTTTAAAGGGGACAGAACATCATTAGTAGATCTCTTGGATTAAGGCACACATACACTTACAGCATGAAATGTTTCCCCTAGATTAATTACAGTTTTTCAAATAAATTCTCATTGCAGGAAGGACGGCATGTTCTTGTTTTCACCATCAGGTGGAGCAGCTCAGCTCAGGCAAGCCATAATAACAAACTCATTCAAAATAAAATGAGTGTGTGTCAGAGCAATAAAATGAACACTAGGCAGAATGTCAAAGCCCCAGGCTGAGAATCAGGCTAGGCAGGAAGGATCTGTACCTTAATAAAAGACAGGACAAACGCTATGCAGAATTATAGCCCAATTTGTCTTATAGAAGGTTCTTAGAGCCTTTCTTGGTTAACATGATGTAATATGATTATTAAAGGCTCTTCCTGTATTTTTGAATGTGTCCTTTAATGGAAAATAAGATAAAATGAAATTTGCACACCTATACCCCCAATGCTCGTGAAATGGCAAAGAATAATTCTTACAGTAACCTGAGCAGTATACCAACAATTGAAGTAACAGAACTTCTAGAGTTTCTGATATGCCTCTCAAAAGGATGCTGTAAGAATGATCAAAGTCCACCCAAACTTCTCCTTCTCTGTATTAGAAATAATTGTTATGGAAGAAATTAATTAGTTCAACCCAATTAATCTCCACAGTAGTTACCGTGCTATGTAAGTTCCCCAGATTTTATGCAATAAAAAACATCTTTGGAAACAGTCATAGCCTCTCTTCTGCAAGACAATATAAAGAATCTAAAATATTTCTGTCTGATAGCTGCTTAAATTAGATCAATACAAGTATTCTAGGATAATTCATAGTTTTACATAGGTTTGAAAAGCTGTAACTGTCTTTCATATTAGATTCAACAAGAGATAAGAGATGCTTCCTACCCAATTATTTTGCTGCCTAAATTACAGGTCCTAGGAAAAAATGCACATTTTTCTCTTTCAAATATTATGACATTTTAAGGCTTCTTCATAGAGATGCCTGCTGTAGCAGCTGCAGACACAAAGGTCTACGTGCAATTAAAATGACGATTGTTAAATAAAGTAGAGCTCATTGGAGGAACATATAACCACAAAGCCCGACAGGATACCACAAACTGACAAATAATATAATGTATGCATTAAGCCTCAAAGACCAACACATTGCAGAACATATGCCTCTTCTGAGCCACATAAAGCTCAGAAAGCCCCGCTGCCATCTCAGATAAAATACTTCTGAGTAGCTGTTTGGAAACCTAATGAATCCTTGGAAGGCGACAGCGGTTAAGATGGCAAGGCTCCTGTATCACCTTCTTTCCCCTCTCTCCCCAGTCTCCCTTCCCCTTGACTTGCCTTGGCATCTCTGAGTTGACTCTAACAGCGGCAGCAGAAGGGAACTTTGCTTATGCTTGCCCTGGAAGGTTTTAGGGAAGAGGTAGACGAAGAGCTTGGTTTAAGCTCAGCCCTCCGCTCTGACCTCCACAATGAGCATAGCCCTAGACTGAACCTAACTTCTGCATGTTATAATGGTTATAATTGGTTACTCATGGTTATAATTGGACCAAGAAGCATCTTGTTTAGTTCTCTGTAAACCTCACAGCTGTGGAATACTCTGTACAGGCTTCAGTAGGAAGGAGAAAATCTTAAAAAAGCTCACACGGTCTGCAGTGTGAGACTTAGACACGTTAGTGAAAGGTGGATCAATCAGAAAGAACTTAAGACCAACATTCTCAGGGCTCACTTGAGCCCTGTGTGTGCTCATAGGACATGTCTGCAAACTTTGTCACGCCAGGCAAGTTCACCATGAAGCTGAACACAGATCTTCCTGAAGAGTCTCATGATGGATAAGAAGAAAAGGTCAGTGACTTGGCTTCAAAAAAGATCCTTTTCTGATGAACATAAAAGAATGGTACTGTTTCCATTCCCTCATGAATACCCAATTTTACCTTTTACTTCTTATTCTTGGTATATAATCTCCGAGGAAGGAAGAAATCTGAGGGGACTGGAGAAGAGAGGAAACACAAAGATTCTGATAAGAGAAAGGCCTCCTTAAGCTGGAAACAGGATACTAAAAACTTCAGTACCAATTATGCCACGCACAAAGCACTAGCCCTGCAACGCTGACATCTTGCCTTACAGAACATAAAGGAGTTCAGATAGAAACTGAAGTTTTACCACACTTTGGTGCAGTGTCTAATAAGTGCAGTATCAGTGACAGAGCAGGATGATAAACAGCTGTTCAATCTGTTGTAATTTACAGTATTAAGAAACAAATCACTATTAATTTCCTTACAGAAATATCTGTTAAAAGCTCCATCAAACCTCTCTCCAACCCTGTGATTAAATACATTAATTTTAAAAATTACTTCAGAATCCCCTTCTTCAGAGAAGGGAATGACTGAGGATTTTGGAAAAAAAACAAACACAAAACCCCCAAATGATCTGTGATGTCTGCATGCTTAGTCAGAAGCCTTGGGTTGTTTTGTATCCAAGCTTCTAATTGGCCCCTGGCCTTCAGAAGCCCCAAAGAAATGAAAATCTGCCATTCTTGCTCAAAATGCTGCTAGTATCTAGTATGTGAAAGGTCAGTTTTGATAGTAAACGGAAGGGGAAAAAAAGTAGTACAATAAAACCCCTTCCATTTGTGATCAGCTCCACAGACAGTGAATTTGGCTGAAAGGTACTTTTGTGTGTATTTTATCAAGGAGGCAATAGATGCACCTGAAGCACTATCTTAAAGTAACAAGATAAATTTTGGTTCATCATAAAGCAATAATAATAACCAAGAATACTCCTCTCTCATCCATATGTGCCTAATAGAATTCACTGAGTATAGGAAACACACAAAAGCCACAGGTTAGGCTCTCAGAGAGACAGACAAGAGTTGTACATGTCATAAGCAAGAACCTTCCCATACTGTCAGCAAGGCAACCATCAGTGTGTAGCAGGCACTTCACAGATGGAAGAGAATTCTACACACTTCTCATGGAATCATCTGTGTCTGTAAATACAAATATATATACGTAGGTCTCATAAATTTGCAAAATAACTTCTTTTGGGCAGCCAAAGTTACTTTCACAGTTCATTTCACTGCAAGTTGCTGTTACCAGCTGTGAAGGAGCAAGATTCAGGATGGGAACGATTTCAGGGGTGGAGAAGGATGTACAGCGATTGAAAGGACTTTATGATACGGACTTTAAAGTTCTTATGTGTTTATAAGTATACACATTGTATGTTTCCCCAGTATTTGTATTTCCCAGGCATGCCCGCTTCCCTGCTTTCCTCTCTGATAGGCTGAAGAAGCTGCAGAGAGGAGACATTTACCATTCGCCCTTTCCTTCCCCGGTTCCTCCCATGTTCCTCCCCCTTTGCCTGTGTCCCTACCCCGATTTGTTGCCCCGTTTGTCTGTCTCATGCTCCACCCCATGTTCTAGCCCTTTCCCCGCCTGAACCCATAAAACCTTTGGACACCTCAATGAAGTATTCCATTTGCACCTCTACTTCGACTCTGGACACGTCAGTGCTGTGTCACGGCCACACCCCACCTCGGACCGAGGTGGCATCCAGCAACAGAATAACTTTGCCTTGTACCCAGCACAAGTAGAAATCCCAATACACAAGTTGTACCACAAGCACTGATGTTGGTTTGTCCTTCAAAGCGTGAACCTACAGATATGTAAGAGATGTGCACATAAAGAATACAGCATTGCTGTTACCCATATTTTTCTTTTTGTAGTCCATAAACTTGAAACAAGTAATATATTGAAGAAACATTTCCAAAAGCTCATCACTAAGTCTCATGACAGCAAAATCTCCAGAGCAGCTTCTGCAGTTTGGAGTATCACAAAGCACTGTTATATACCTGATTTACTCCTGACCTCACAGGCATGTTGTAACCCTCAAAGGGGTTCTT